AGCGAAGTCCCCATATTTGACTTTCACAACAAAAAGCACGTTGATGTATATCTGAAATTACATTAGAGAATTATTAACTGCAACTGAGGGGATTTGTATCCTCGATGTGAGAATTATTCACCGAGGCGCGGCATCCATCTTAGGTCTTGGGATACTGTGCAGGGATCTTATTTTCAACGTGTTTATTGACAAGAATATTTTAGATGTCATATAGTCACCAGCTAACACCGCTTCCGACCTGGCTGAGCGATTTCGTTTATGCATTCATGTACAAATTATATTTTATCACAGAACAACATTTTTAGATAATTAATTGCCATCCGAAATAATTATAAAATGCTCTAAACCGAAATAAACATACTATTTTCATTGATCGATTTTCCCCAAACTGAGACCAGTCACTCCGTATTTTGAATTCATGATTTCATCCTAGTACTACGATATATTAAATATGTAAAAAAATTGCAATATTTTTACTTTATTGTAGCGTTATACCTTAAATTCATTATCACACACGAACACACAACAAATCAAATATATACAGTACAAGTTGTCCGAAGACCCAAAAATAAGGCAGCATGAATTCTCAGAACTTTAAATCTTGTTGGAGTGAAACGGCCTTTATGCGCACATTAGTATTATTGCAGTTAGGGTGACTTGAGTGAAAGTGATTGCGTTATTATTCGATGCTCGACCAGTTGGTTCTGACACACATAAATCGTGAGCGGCGTAACTACTGATGTTGGTTCATAGCTCAACTTACTACATATGCTAAAGACGTCAAGTTTAGATAATACAAGTTTAACTTACGTATATGCAAGATGAAGCGTTTGGTTAACACCATAGTGTCAATTTCAACAATTCAGGTACTTGTTCGATGAGGACGCTATTTACATAGTTTGTGTTGAATGAAAGAATGAAAGAAAACAAGTGCAAAATACAACCGATCACTCATAAATGATTTAAAGGGCGTTGGTCATCGCGCAGCGTCCTGTTAGATGTGGGACTCATGGAGACGCACACAACGCGTGTAAATTAAATTGTTTGTTTACGCGAATTTCGAACACGCGCTGCGCGACGACCACCGCCCTTTAAAGGGGTATTTACCTGACTCCAAATGTGCACTGTAAAAATGTTGATATTCCGGCAACAAATAATATAGTGCCCAATATTTGACTGGTTGCTAAGTAGTTGTCACCGACACACAAATGTGTAGAGAGTAGAAGTGGGATAGACAGGGTACCTCCAAACATGGTTAAATAATGCTGTTTGGATAAAATAAGAGATTGGAAAACGGAATTATTATCAGTAAACATGCTGAAAGTTGATTTAATTGAAACCACACTGGTGTTTTCTGCTCATTTATTTATTTATTTATTTATTTATTTATTTATTTATTTATTTATTTATTTATTTATTTATTTATTTATTTATTTATTTATTTATTTATTTATTTATTTATTTATTTATTTATTTATTTATTTATTTATTTGTATTTATTTATTTACACCAGATAATATAAATGAAATTGTACAATATACTATTACATTATTCATATGTAAAGAGAAACAAATGTAGGTAGCAAATTGTCTGGCGCCGGTCACAGAAATAGACCCGAGGAGCTAGTCTAGTCTGTGACATGGAAGTCTGTAACATTAATGTTTAAATCTATTATAAATGACGAAAAATGGGTCACAAAACAATCCTCTATCGGTGCAGAGTACAAATGGATGTAAACATACAAGCCACCGTACATTAAGTACCAGTAACTCGAATAACAACTCAACTCTACACTGTAATTTGTACAATTATATTATACCCTGATGACAACAACAGAACAATGTATATGCAGGGAAAACTGCCAGTACCAATGACTGCA